AATTACCCAGTCTTGGGTATTTCTTCATAGCAGTGTGAGAATGGACTAATATAGCATCCCTGTCCCCTGCGTTCAATTAAAAAAAAAACATAGACACAGAGAAAAGCCCAGAGGAGAGTGAAAGGATGTCAGGGCATCATATTTGCCAAGGGGCCATCCTATACATCTAGAAAGGTAGGCACATTGGGAGGCAGCAGTGCACCCTGATGGCCTCTATCAGAGACACAGTGCCAGACATGGTTGGCCCAGGGTTTTGCCCAGAGCAGCAGCTCTCATATTTTTTGTTCAAAATGACCTCACCAAATGGTTGTCTGTCTCCAGTTGCACAAGATTGTGAGAAGATGATCTGCAAGGCCATTTGAATCCAGACATTAACTAAATGGAACAGCACATCTGGAACAGGGTATTTATCAGACACTTTCTATAGGCCAGAGGCTTTAAGCGTATTATCTTGTTTAATCACTGCAATAAACCTATGAAATAGATAGTTTAACCCCTCTTCACTGATGCAGAAGCTGGCTGGAGAGCAGGAAGTTCTTTGTCCCAGTTGCACAGAGGGCAGCTGCAGGATGGTATCAAGCTCTGGCAGTGCTGGTATCTTGTTTCCCTTGCTCTACCCCACCTTGCCACCAGGCCACTCCCAGAGAAGAGAAACCTTGAATAAATGGGAATGTGGACAATCAAAGGCATTGGTTTGCCCTCTTTTAGGACCCATAAACTCTTTGGAGAACTTGGATGAACTCTCCCCTTAGACAAATGCACAACACACTCAAAGTAACAGAATTTCAGGAAGACCGTGACCCCTCCAGCCCACTGTGGATCCTGGCTTATGTTCACTTGCTCTCCAGGGAAATTATTTCCTTTAGGTCCACTCAAACTCATATTTGAACCTCAGTTCCCTCTGTTTCTAAACTTGGGTCTTCATCACCAGGCCATGGCTGTCCTGGAAATAGACAAGTAGTCCAAAACTCAGGCCTGCATCTGACACTAAAACATGATGCTCGCACCTTCTCCCTGACCAAGCAGATTTTTACACAAAAAATAAATAAATAACTTCAGTTTATGTGTATACCCCACATAGAGTCTCCAACGAGGAAAAAGAAAATTAAACCCTGGTATATAATCTTTGTGTAATAGATCAATTATAGATTTCTCTAATCTCTATAATCTAACTCTCGACGCTTCTTTGAATAATTTTCTTTCCATATTTAAATTTCTTAACCCCTAAAAGAAGGAGAAATAATTCCAAGGGAAATTGTTGATTCTTATGATAAAGGACAAAGTAGTCTAAAGCTGGGTTAGTGCACATTAACTGACTTTGCTCTCAGTTAACATACATTGAGAACCTATTGTTTGCTTAGCACATGCAGAATACTTTGATATACATGATCTCATTTCGCTCTTACACCTCACTCCCATCCCCAGAAGTCCAATGCGGAAAACAAAGTCATTACTATCACCCTCATTTCACAGAAGAGGAAACTGAGGTCCAGAGAGGTTCTGTGACCTGCCCAAAGTCAAACAGTGAGATGTGGCAGAGCTAAGATTGAAGCTCTGGGGTCCAGTCTCCAAGTCCCATTTGCTCAGGCCTCAACCAATATATGAGGCAACGTTTTAAAACACAGATCTGGGTTGTTGACTTGCCGCAAATAATGCAAATACCAAGAAAGCAATCCCGTTGAGAACATGTGAGTCATCTGTACTGTTAATTAGGCAACCTTCTCCCCAACATTCAGGACCCAGGTCTCGAATCTCCTTTGCTGTGAAGTCCCCTCTGACCATCATCCCCTTTCCCTAAGCAGAGGGTCTCATTACCCTGAAAACTGGGTCACATGTTGGAGTGGGTCATGATTATCTGGTACTTTTTGCAGTGAACTCTTTAAGGGGTAGTAAGTTCCTGAATTAGAGTCAGAGACACCAGGAGCATCAGATGAGGAATTGGCCCAAGATTCATTACCGTGGCAACAGCTACTTGACTTAGCCTCTGACTTAATGTCTTGGCAGGTGGGCAAACCAGGGAGAGCAAGGATGACTCAGTGTGTTCCTGCCTGGGCTGAACAGGAGAATGACATGGCTGTCAAGGGAGAGGCAGGAGGCTGGGCTTGGATGGCGAGCATTTCTGGGAAGGTCTTGTCTTCCCTGAAAGCTGAGGATTTCTGAAGTATAGCACTAGGTAGTGCCCAGGAAATGGTGAATCTGTGTCACAGCCCACAGTGTTTTCAAACTGCCCATGTCGACCCATTAGTGGATCATGATGTCACTTTTGTTGCTGCTGTTTCAGCATTTTTTATTACTAAGATGGAAGAGAAGTGAAAAGGAAAACAAATGAGAGGGCCTCACATGTAGTAAGGGTCGCTGTTATTTTCCATTAATTTTTTTAATGGAAATCATGAAGAGTGTGCGTGTGGGTGTGGGTGTGTGCGCACACCAAGCTGTGATATAAAATATATTCTTACTCTGAGTCACAGTCAAAAATATTTGAAAAAACAAGATTGGATTAGAATCTTAGAAAAATATCCCTTGACTAATTTCCTGATTATAGAAACATTAAACTCTAATGGTCATCTGTATCATTCATCCATTATTCATTATTTTTTATTTTTTTGGAGACACAGTCTCACTCTGTCACCCAGGCTGGAGTGCAGTGGCATGATCTCAGCTCGCTGCAACCTCCACCTCCTGAGTTTCTCCTGCCTCAGCCTCCCAAGTAGCTGGGATTACAGGCATCTGCCACCACAGCCGGCTAATTTTTTGTATTGTTAGTAGAGGCAGGGTTCCACCATGTTATCCAGGCTGGTCTTGAACTCCTGACCTCAGGTGATCCACCCACCTCGACCTCCCAAAGTGCTGGGATTACAGGCATGAGACACCACCCCTGGCCCCGTTATTCGTTATTCACTATTTATTTATCCAAAAAGTCATCTACTTGAGTTCCCTACCCTGTTGTCTCACCCCCTGTTAGATGTGAAGGTAAAACATTTAGGAGAAAGTGAGTAGCTCCGTGTGTCTGGAGCCACCAATCAGGCAGTGAGGACGAGAGCAGGAGTGTGACAGGCCCACCGTATGAAGATGCCCATCTTCAAAGGAGGCACCTTTGCTGAGACTATGTGGTTCAGGCAGGGTGAGGAGTGGACTTTAACTACTGACTTTGGCATTCTGTCTCCCGTCACCTGCTAGTTGGTTTAAATTATTTAGCACTTGTCTATTGCCACTATTTTATTTCCAGACTATTTTGTCCATGCCAGTATCATCTCTTCAGTTTTAAATGATTTGAATGTGTCCTCTTCTTTTGCATCTCCAAAATGCCGAGCAGGGTTGGAAACACAGCAGGTATTCAGTAAGTGCTTCCACTGTATTGACAGATACTTGTTCTTTAGGTCTCTGATAAGACATCCCTTCATTCCTAACCTTCTCCTACCACAGAGCATTTAAGAAATGGTTTTGCAGCTATGTGTGTAACAACCTGTCTCCTTCACTTACACTGGGAGTTCACTTAGCATGGGATTATGTGTGTTCTCTCCATCACTATATCCTCAACCCCAAACACAGCACAATGTCTGCCTTGTTCCTTGTATCCTCAGTAGGATACTTGGTAGGTGTATCTGTTAGTTTTCACCACAATAATGGTGAGTAACTAACATCCCCACTATCTCAGTGGCATACCAAATAAGCATATGTCTTTGCGGGCAGCCGGGGCAGCTCTAAGCTGCAGGCCAGTTCTGGATCTGCTCTGTGTGTCTCTCATGCCAGGCTAGCCAGAGCATGTTTTTCTTCTCTTTTCCCACCTTCAGATCTGCAGTTTTGCAGACAATGCATGTTTTTCTTTTTTCTTTTTCTTTCTTTTTTTTTTTTTTTTTGACAGTCTTGCTCTGTTGCCTAGGCTGAAGTGCAGTGGCATGATCTCGGTTCATCACAGCCTCCACCTCCCGGGTTCAAGCAATTCCCCTGCCTCAGCCTCCCTAGTAGCTGGGACTACAGACACATGCCACCCACACCCAGCTAATTTTTATAGTTTTAATAGAGACGGGGTTTTACCATGTTGGCCAGGCTGGTCTCGAACTCCTGACCTCAGGTGATCTGCCTTCCTTGGCCTCCCAAATTGCTGGGATTATGGGCGTGAGCCACCATGCCAGGCCTAGGGCATGTTTTTCTTATGACCAAGGTAGAGGCGCAAGAGAGCAAGTTCGATTTTACAAGTAGTCTGCAGGCTTTTGACTCCATCGTGTTTGTTAACATAGCTTTGACCGAAGTAAATCAAGTAGTCAAGTCCAAAGTCAAGAGGAAAGGAAATGCACTCGACTTAGGGAGTTTGGGGTGGCAAAGGAAAGAGTGAATATTTCCGAATCATCCACCCAAGTAAGTTCCCAGCTTCTCACTGAATGTTTATGGAATGGAAAGGAAGGGAAGAGAATAATTGGATTGCAGGAATTTTCCGTGGGTATTCACCATACAAGTTACAAAAGCCCATGGGGACTCTGCTACCTCCTGACATACAGCTCTACAGAGAAAGCCAGAAGCCTTGTCAAACAGGTAACAGCCCGACCATCCAGAGCTAGAGTTGTTGAGCAAACAAAGTGAGCCCTCAGAAGCAATTTTAGGCAGAGACTATTCCCCCAGGGCACTGAGGGACCACAACTGCCTTTGTGGGGAGAACAAGGGGAGCGACCACCAGAGTCACAAGAAGTCACATCTAGGAGTGGATAGCAACCCTTCCAGGCATGAGGAGAGGATTCTGTTTTGTGTCCTTTGGAAATGCGTGTGTCCAGATGAATGCCCATATGCTTGCTAAAATCAGTAGTCAGGACTTCTAAGAGACCTTTGCAAATAGCTGGGCATCCATTTCTAAAAAGAGTCCAGAGCACTGGTTCCTACACTGGCTTTCTTTGCAGTACCAGCTCTGGTGTGGTTTGAGATTATGCAAAATGTTGCACCCCTGCCTTGGTTAACTGAAAAATAACAATATGTTTTCCTTTCATTCTCTGTCTCCCTTCTGACTGCAGGGGTGCTGTGCCTACCAGACAGCCTGAATCTTCACAGAGACCCACAGCGGTCAAACAAGCCGGGAGAACTGCCCATGTTCAGCCAGTCGGAGCTGAGGACCATCGAGCAGTCCTTGCTGGCCACGCGCGTAGGCAGCATCGCAGAACTGAGTAAGTAGATGTTGGTTCTCCAGCTCTCATGCCTCAAGACATATCCTGTCTGTGCCCGAAGTGACACAGTGTCCTCATGCCAATCCCTCAGGGCACTACTTTGTAATCAGTGGGGTGACACCTTTTATTGAGTGCCTGCTGTGTACACTAAACAATGCCAGTAGCATGGGGAAGGTAAGAGCTCTGAAGCTGGTACATTTCCTGGTTCCATCATAAATCGGGTCAGGTTCCTAAGCTTTTCTGAACCTCAGTTTCCTTTTCTATTAAATAGAGAAAATACCAATGCCTACCCAGAGTGTAGCTGCAGTGATTCAATGAGCTCACATCCATAAAGGTGTCAACCTAAATAACAAGCAGAGAAGGAGATTCTCTAAAAGAAAACCATGTTTATCTGGGAATAGGCCTTGCAATGAGAATATGCATGCCAGAGTATATTCTCAGAGAAATACTACGTGTGTATTTGGGGGCTAAAGGAAGACAATGGTCTTTAATGGAAAAGTGAGGAGGGGGATTACAAAATTGTTTTTGAGATAATTATCCTTGGCTACAAGGATCAATAAATAACAAGGGTAGCACCAGTCTGAGATTGGACTGGCAGTTGCTGGTCACATGTCTTCATATAAGTAGAGTGTGTGTGTGTGTGTGTGTGTGTGTGTGTGTGTGTGTGTGTATAAGGATACCATGGCCTTTGTGCAAGGCTGTGATTTTTGCAGAGGTTTTCTGTGATAGTTCTTGTTATCAGGCATTTGTGCATGAGAATCTTCCCTTCATGGCCTTCCCTGACTCTCTTCATCAGGGATTTTAACACAAATGATTCCATTTTAATTCTGACAGCTTTCACAAGAGGGTTTGCCAAGGTGCCTGGCACATGGTAAATACTCTATAAATGGCTGGCTACTGTTGATTTCCACAGTGAGATCCACTTAAATCATATATCAGGTCACATCTTTCCTCTGTTCAGAGTCCTCCACTGGCTCTGGTTCAGTGGTTCCCCATCTGACCCACAGGAAAAGCCAAAGCCCCAGAATTACTGCCAGCTCCCCCCATCCCCTACCCTCCCCAGACACCCTCCTCCATCTTCCCTCTGTCCCCTACTTGTTCCTTGAACACAGCAGGCATACCACAGGACCTTTGCACTTACTCTTCCCTCTGCCTGAACTGCTCTTCCTCCAGGTATCCCCATGGCTCACTCCCTCACTACCTTCACATTTCACCCAAATATTACCTTCTCAATGAAGCTTTCCATGACCATTGTATTTAAAATCATAATACTCTGAGGACCCTTGTCTTAGTCAACTTGGGTCACTATAATGAAATACCATAGACAGCGTGACTTAAAACACAGACATTTATTCCTCATGGTTCTGGGGGCTGGGAAGTCCAAGATAGAGGTGCAGGACAATTCAGTTCCTGGTGAGGTCTCACTTCCTAGCTTGCACATGGGTACCTTCTCCCTGTGTTCTCATAGGGTGGTGGGGTGGGGGAAGGTATTCCTCTTCTTATAAGTCCTCCAACCCTATCATGAGGTTCCACCCTCATGGACTCACCTAACCCTAATCATTTGCCAAAGGCTCTATCTCCAAATACTATCACATTGAAGGGCAGGGCTTCAACATATGGATTTGGGGTGATGAACTTTCAGACTATGTCAACTCTTCTCCCCTTCATTGCTTTACTTTTATCCCCAGAAGTTACCATCCTAAGATATACTCTATATTTTTGTTTTTTAATAATAGGTTTATTGAGATATAGTTCGTATACAATTTACCTTTGTAGAGCATACAGTTCAGCAGTTTTTAGTATATTTACCAGGACATGCAACCATGACTATAATCAATTTTAGAACATTTGTATTACCGCAATGAGAAACCCAGTACCCATCATCAACTACTCCCCTCCCCTCCCACCCACACTCTGTATTTTTTTTTTAAATTATTTCTCTATCCCCCTAGTATATAGAACATAGTAGAAACATTTTATTTGCTCACTGATGTAACCCTAGCACCAGGAATACTGCTTGGCATATAGTAGGCCCTCAGGAAACATGAAGGAAGGAAGAGAAAGAGAGAGTGGTTGGGAAATGGGAAAAGGAGGGAAAGAAGGGAAGGGAAGGGAAAGGGAAGGGAAGGGAAAGGAAGGAGGGAGGGAGGCAAAAGAGGTAGAAAGATGCAAAGAAGGAAGGGATAATCAAGGTTGAGGTATCCCAAGTTTAAGTAATAATTTACCATGCTTATATACCCCCAAATTCAGGACTGTGCTCTCTGAGTCTGACCAACCACAGGAAAATAATCCTGTATTTACTTATGATCCAATTGATTATCAAAAAATTTAGCTGAGTATTAGTTACTGATGGAATTGAAGCATTGATCACAGAAATGCTAGAATGTGTTAAAGTGGGAGTTGGTATTGAAATTCCAGCAAATCCTAAACTATGAAGGGATTTAAGACCCAAAATGCAACTTCCACTTCTTCCCAGAGGAACTCCCTGGACACCCAGATAGGCACCCTCCATTAAGCTTACGGCCTGCACCCTGGAAAGGGAGTCAGTAGCTGATCAAAGCTATAGGGGGTGCTTATGGCCACTAGAGAGCTACTTTCCTGGCATCTGAATTTGGAAATTGAGCTTCCCATTCCCTTCAAACCTCTGAAGTTACAAAACGCCTCCTGTCACAGGGCCTCCTAGCTACTGGTCAGTCCTGTGATTCTTCTGAGACTTTTGGGTGCCACAACACCTTTGGCAATCTGGCGAACCTGTGGACCCTGTCTCAGAATAATATTTTTGAATGCATAATGTGCAAATGATTACAAAGGAAACTGATTACATTAAAATTCAATCATCATAATATTTTTAATCTCAATTGTGGTATAGTAGTTCTCTGTTTTTTTTTTTTTTAATTAGCATGTGACATAACAAGATCTAGCAGCAGGTCAGATGTCCCCATGATTTGGGGGTAATATGTGTGAATGCTGTTTTGAGATGTCTGCTACAAGTGGAATGGGGTAAGGAAATATCTGCATTTTAATACGTACTCAGGGCATTCAGAGGCAGAAGGTCCAAGCAGCATTCTTGGAGAAACATTGCTCTAAGAAGAAGTGCTACACATTGGGGACTTCAGTATTTTCCAGGACATGCTCATGACCCTAGAAATGTAGGATCTGGCTACCGAGTTGGGACATAGCTTTGTGGGACAACCCCAGAAGAGGCCCTCATACCATGTGGCTCACACGCACTGTCCCTAGGGTCTCAAAGCTTTGTCCTGGGATGTCTCAAAGTCCTCCCATGGCCTCCAACACCTGGATTGGGCTATGCATAATTCCAGCGCTCTCTTCCAAGAAAGGATTTGCTAAACAAATCTGCTCTTTGCCTAACAGGCAGCCTGCAGGAGCTGCTTGCCGCATAAATTGTTTTTAAGGACAATTTGCTCTGTAAATTAAATGCTGTCCTCATTGAATGTTGACTTTTGCATATGAGTTGTTGGCACACAAATGGGTGTTGCTAATTGCGAATGGGTTTTGTACATTAACTAAGTCAGCCCCATAGAATGTGCACACAAGGAAACACTTTGATAAGTCACATCAGCGGCTGAAAGGAATAAAATTGCCTTTTTTTCTGATCTGACTGTCATTTAGACTGGCTTGCTCTGTGGTCTGAATCAATACAGCCTTGCTCTCTGTGTACATAGAGAGCTGTTCTTCATATTCAAAGGCTGCTCTGCCAATGTGGACGGTAGAAACCACTGTTTTTGCAGCAGAGGTGAGATGGAGAGTTTGTTCTCAGTCATCCCTGCTCTTGTTGAAACAGGGACACGTCTGGCTAGGGTCAAGAGGGGAGCCCTATTTTAATAGCTAATAACAATAATAATGGCAGCAGCTGATGTTTAATGAGCCAGGGAACTATGCTAAGTGTTTACAGGAATTACTTCCAACATGTTATTATTGTCCTCATTCGATGATATGGGAATGGAAGCAAGAGGAGGTTAAACAATTTGTCCAAGATCAACCACACCTGTGAATTGAATGGCTCAAAATTGAATCCAGGCTTCTCAAGGCAAAGCTTTTATACTTAACCACGAAACTACACTCCCTCAAGGGAAGTCCAGAAGATATTTCCACTCAGACCTGAGATTCCCCACCTCTGTACCATCAGGGTGTCAGTTGGGTCTGCGTTCCCTGCAAATCACTCTGAAGATTTGCAATTTGCTCTGTAGGGTGCACTGTGGGTACTCTCCTGTAAACTAAACTGGAGGTGCGAACATTCACAAAGCTTACAATACCTCCCCAAATACAGCAGGCGCTGCATGATGACATTTCAGTCAATGACAGACTACATATATGATGGTGGTCCCATAAGATCATAATACTGGCCAGGTGCAGTGACTCACACCTGTAATCCCAGCACTTTGGGAGGCTGATGTGAGGGGATTGCTTGAGCCCAGGAGTTTGAGACCATCTTGGGCAACATAGTGAGACTTTGTCTCTACAAAAAATAAAACAAAATTAGCCAGGTATGGTGGCACGCACCTGTAGTCCCAGCTACTCGGAAGGCTGAAGTGGGAGGATTCCTTGAGCACTGGAGGTCAAGACTGCAGTGAGTCATGATCACGCCTCTGCACTCCAGCCTGGGCGACAGAGCAAGATCCTGTCTCAAGAAAAGAAAGAAAGAGAGAAAGAGAGGGGAGAGAGAGAGAGAGAGAGAAAGAAAAGAAAAGAAAAAAGATTGCTGCATTTTTTACTGTACCTTTTTTATGTTTAGGTATGTTTAGATACACAAGTACTTCCCATTGTGTTACGATTGCCCACAGTATCAGGACAGACACATACTGTACAGGTTTGTAGCCTGAGAGTGATAGGCTACACGCTACAGCCTAGGTGTGCAGTAGGCTGTACCCCTGGGTTTGTGTAAGTGCAGTCTACGGTGTTCATCCAACAATGAAATCGTCTAAGGACATATTTCTCAGAACCCGTCCCTGTTGTGAATCAATGCTGGGCTGTATTTAGAC